GTGGACGAGTCCCAGGGAAAGTCCCAGGACTGCCCATGGGACCCGGAAGAGAAAATAAGGAACTCTTGAAGCTCATTTCTACGCTTTGACTGTCTTAAGTGGCGGCTGGAAGTCAAGAAGGTGCCCTAGACCTGGCCACCTGGACACATGGGACACATCCTAGTGGCCACTAGGGGCCCCCATGGCAGCACTGTGCAGGGGCAAGAGGGTTCTGGAAGCGGGGGAAGGGGGGGCGCTTCAGCCCGGGGTGCAGGAGTCTCCTGAGTGGGGAGCACTCCCTGGGGGAGCACCTGGACATAGCACCTGGCACTGCCTACTCTGGCCAGCAGAGACGGGCACCGTCTCTCCTGCTTCAGCCCTGGGTCCCTGGGCTGCTGGCAACAGGGTGCCCACAGGCCGCCAGGCCTCTCTCTTGCAGGGTCCATGCGTGTGTGCATGGGGGGACTCGCTGGGGGCACCCCAGGCCTGGCCTCCCACTGACCCAAGCCAGCGGCCTCCTTCCCCGTTCCTGCGACTGCCCCTCTCCACTCTGGCCCTGACCCCAGGATGGTTTCAGAGGCGTTTCTGTGGCTCCACGTCTTCCCCAGGGGTGCCCATCTTCGGGGATGCTGGAAGGGGCTGAGCTGAGTGCCCGTGACCTTGGGCAGCGTGCAGTCACCTGTTACTCTCAGCACTCAATGGGGGGCCCGTGGGGGCTCCAGCAAGCAACACTGACCCTGAAATCCCCAAAAGTCCCCCAACCTGGCAACGGACTGGGTCCTATTTGAATTCTTTTAAAAAATAATTCATTTGGGGTATTTTTTTTGACACACCTGGTTATGCTCGGGGTCACTCCTGGCAGTGCTCAGGAGACCATAAGCAGTTCCAGGGGTCGAACCCGGGCTGGCTGTGTGCCAGCGAATGCCCTTCCTGTTATACCAACTCTCTGGTCCCCAAATTCCTTTATTTTTATCTTTGGCTTTATAAGCAGGCTATTACTCTTATCTGTAATTCCTTCACTGAGATCTAACTCCGACTTACAAAAAAAAAGTAAAACCAGCATTTTATACTTTTACACGAGGGAAGAAAAAGTGACGAAAATGCAAAGATCCATTCTGTAGTTTACACGGGCTGGAGCGACAGCACAGTGGGGAGGGTGTCTGCCTCGCACGCGGCCAACCGGGTTTGATTCCTCCGCCCCCCTCAGAGAGCCCGGCAAGCTCCCCATGACGTATTCGATATGTCAAACACAGCCACAACAAGTCTCACTTCGTGTTCCTGGAGCAATCAGATGCCATTGGGCTACACTAGCACGCGACAGGGACAAATGGAGACGTTACTGGTGCCCGATTGAGCAAATAGATAAACGGGACAACAGTGCTAACAGTAGTTTTCAAAAGACCCAAGTTCTGATGATGGCTGTGGGGGCCACTGGCTGTGTGACAGGAGAGGGGGCCGGGCCCCCACTCCCTCCCCCCCCCCCACTCTGGGGCTTAGAGGGGTCTGGGCCCACAGAGCTCCATTCAGACACTATTTTCTTCTCTTGGGAAATAAAAGGGAGGCGCCTTGGTTTTCTCAAACTCAGCGTCTCGTGGAGGAAGCCGCTCCCTTCCCAAGAGGAGCTAGCCGGAGTAATATTCAAGCGACTCGGTGACACAAACCCCCCACTTAACAATATCCTCTATGCAAGAAACAAGCTGGCGATGGCGATGGCCCCATGAATCCTGAACATTTATTATTTGTGAGAATATCCAGGCTTTGTTGTATAGAGCTCGTGGCGATAATCACAAAATATACATTTGAAATGAAAAGTCAAGAGAATCATTACATATCACACAGGCCACAGGCCGTTGATCCAGAACAGAGTTGGCAACTGCACGTGACGCGCTCCCGGCCGTCTGCCGGGCGGCCAGTTCCTGCCAGAGCTGCGGTCACCAGAGGCCGCCCCCAGCCCGGCTGTAAACCTGCTACCACCCCCCCCCCCCCCCATATAGATATATACTTTATTGCCTCTAGAGCCTGCTGGTTTAACATGAGTATGCTAAATAATCCTCTGAGTTTATTTGGTTTCTGAAAATAGAAAAACCGCGTTGGGCCCTAGTCCCTGCAGCTCCCGGCCGAGGGCAGTGCTGGGAGCCTGGTGCAGGGCCTGGTGGTCTCTCCGCTCAGCCCCAGGCTGGGTCCAGGGCTCACAGATGCTGCCAGCCGCGATACTGACCTGCGCATGGGACCGGGCCAGCGTCGAGAGCAGGTGTCTGCGCCCAGAGCGGCCGCGAGCACAGGTGGACGCTGACCCAGAAGTTAAGGCCGGGTCGTCCCGGGCCAGGCGTCTGCCGGGCTTGCACACCCCAGAGCAAGGTGCCTGGCCTCCCCCACGCCATTTCCTCAGCCCATGGGGTCAGTGCTCACGGAAATGGCTTTAGGAGAGCTTTCTTGAGGGACTACTTTGCTCTTCCTCACCAAGAAAAATTTTTCTTTTG